TTTAATTTAAAATAGTATATAAAAGATTTACTAATTAAACACTTAATATAATAAAATGATATCTGAAAAACTAAGAAATTATTAATTATATTATATTTGTTAATGCATTTTATATATTCTGAATACTATTTTATGAAAAGAAGTACTGATTTATTGGGGGGGGGGGGGGGGGGGAAACCAAATTCATGTAATTAAAGCACACTAATGTTTTTTTTTTTTTTTTGGGTAACCAACTTTTTGAAAAAATAACAATATCCCACTCACATCATTTAATTTTGTCCAATAGTTAGTTATTTGAAATTGCAAATTTGAATGTATTTATAATTCCTCGTAACCAATTTTTTATATCTTTATTTTTATAGGAGAAAGATATTCTTACTAACAAAAAAATATACTACCATCTTACTACCTTCATAATTACCATTGGATCCAAGAGAGAGAATGTTGAAAAGATTTTGAAGAGAGAGAAAATATGAATCCAATGATGATTGTGGAGGTAATAGGTTGGTAGTGAATTTTTTTGGTAGTAAGAATATTAGAGCCCTCCCCCATTTTTATATAGTTGACGCTTGTTTATTAACAAAAGGGATTTGTTAATCTTCTTACATATATTACCCAACAAAAATTTTAAGATCTTTATTTTTAGTACTGATGAATAGATTATTATTTAAAGAAAATTATATTAAGATGTTAGTTGTTTAACGTAATTCAATATTTTACTTATTTGATTATCAATATAACTGTATTTCTATTAATACTTATAAAGATCATACTTCATATATGGAATCATTTTGTTTTAGACCATTTCGTATATGATAATGCCATTAATATTTTAACAAAAAAAATAATTAAAATTTTATGTATACAAATCTGAATATTACTTAGGAGCATTATTATTGTTTATAAACTGACCAATATATTATGATGACATTGGTTAGAGGTTATTTGAATGTATTCATAGCATATGTAGTTATTCGTTTACCATAAAAAGAGAGAGAGTAAAAGCTCAATTTATTTAAACGAAAAGTCTAACATTAAACCTGCACAGAGAAACAGAGCATGATTGATTCAACAAACAAAAAAGTTCAAATCCCTCCGACCTTTGAGTTCAGTGATGCTTGCTTAATATGATCAAGGGCTGTATATATGGTTTATGGGGTTGAAGATTCACGAAAGTAATTAACAACACCCTCACGAAAGAACACATTAGGATTCCCACTCTCTCGACATCGTTGGATGAAATAGTTTACTCGATTCCTCTTTAATATTTTTGCTTGGTCGAAGTCATCCTCACTGCTTGCCTCAAGTTGATGAAAGAATGGTTTGGCTTCTATTACCCACTCCAACGGACCATCATGCAACTTTTCAAAGGAGACACTTTCGTATACATCATCAGATTCTGCAAGTTCGAGGAAGTCCTTGCATGTTAGCTTCATGCTAGTAATGTCTTCCAAAGAACGGGATGCAATCTTCCGAAATATTACTAATATCAATTCGGATGGGAGGCTTGACAGCGACACAGCATTGATCATCTCCATTTTTAAGATCTTGTTTGAGGATGAAGCAGCCATGCAACTTGGCGGTGGCGGTACATTGTACTTATGGCTTATCATTATCCATGTGCAGATAACTTGGAAAATGAAACGCCGCCCTTTTTCATTTTTCAGATATCGGTTTAGAATTATGAAGCGTTGATGGAGTAGGTAATCAGTCAAATGAGGATATCAGACAAGAAAAAAATCAATAAATATACAATCTGAATGAGACAGATGGACGATGGAACGTCATCTTCTTCCTTCCAGGTTCTTCTTCCACGTTTTTTTTGTTTTTATTTTTATTTTTTCAAACAACATATATAGCCATAATTAATTAAACACTACTTACAACTGTTACAATGTTATCTGATACATTATGAATCTTTATTTTTTGAAAAAAAATATTTGGTAATGCATAAAATTTTGTATTTTGTTTATTTTTTGAATCAAAATTAATCAAATTTATATAAATTCAGACACTGAAGTGGTATAAAAAGTAAATCTTATATTTTTTGTTTATTTTAAATAGCCAAAAAATCAGTATTATTAATAGCATTTAGAGAAAAAAAAAAGCAATTGTTTAATGAAATAAGCATATTCATCATTTGTTGGGAAACCAACTTTTTGAAAAAAATACCACATTTAACGCTCTTTAAAAAAAATTGTATTTAATTTTGTTGGTAACAGAACTTTAATGAGTGGTATAAAAATAAATCTTTTATTTTTTGTTTAATTTAAGTAGCTAAAAATTCAGTATTATTAATACCATTTTGAAAAAAAAAGTAATTACTTAATGAAATAAGCATATTCATCATTAGTTGGAAAACCAACTTTTTGAAAAAATACCATATCTAACGCTCTTTATTTAAAGTTGTATTTAATTTTGTTGGTAACAGAACTTTAATGAGTGGTATAAAAATAAATCTTTTATTTTTTGTTTAATTTAAGTAGCTAAAAATTCAGTATTATTAATACAATTTTGAAAAAAAAAAGTAATTACTTAATGAAATAAGCATATTCATCATTTGTTGGGAAACCAATATTTTGTAAAAAATACCATATCCAACGCTTATTGTCTAATTTATTCCAATAAATCGATATTTGAATTTAAAAAAAATGTATTTATTTTTGTTGGTAACAGAAGTTTAATGGTATAATTAATATTTTTAATTAGGTTATATAATTTTGTTATTTAATTTATTTATTATACCGAACCTTAAATATATACACACATGAGGTGTATAAAATCATTAGTTGAATTTAAATTCAAAAATGTATTTATACAATATTACAATGAGGAAAGCTTTTCTACAATAAAAGGTCATATAACGATAAGTCACAAATGCAGCGTTCATGAAGTTTCATTTGTTGTGAAAACTCATGAGTAATTATGGTGAATTTCCAAACACACGTAATAATATATATTAATATGCATACGGAAATTGTTATCAGAGAAATATTAGCCAAAAAAAATTGGATTAAACAATTCAAAATATTTCAGAAATATAAGATGTTCAACAAAATATGAAATACATACTTCAAAATTAAATCGTCCAAGATGAAAAAAACCAAACAGCCAAATAAATTAAAAGACAAAACATAACAATGATAATAACACCAGCAAAGTCTATGTCCAAAAACGAAATTTGCCCCTTTCGAAAAACGACTTCATTAATCTGCCACGTTGTCTTCATTCGCTGCATCAAAACTTACACAATAACAAAAAAAAATGGTAATATATCAGTAAAGTGCATTACAAAAATTATTATACAGTGTTTGGCATGAGTACTAACAATTTCTCCAATTTAATTTTTTTAATTGTATGGACAACAGAGCGTTCACCAATTTCGTCTATAAATTCATTAGAATTGACAGACGGTGTCATCATAGACAGAGAATCATTAACAGGATCTGCACTTTCACATGTCTGACTCGCAACATCCTGACGGAAAAAAAAATATTATGGGATGATGAAAATCAAGATTGATAAGAATGCATAAAAATATTTAAAGTTAATTTATTTTAACTTACCGCAGCTCTTCCATTTTCAGCAGCAACAATGTCATTGTCGAAAGCTTGATCAAACAAAGTTTCATCCTGTAATTGTTTGGTAGAAGAAAAGGAAGATATAAAAGAAAAATGTATGCAAGGCAACTATATGAAAGAAGCGACAAACACAAAACAAAAAAAAGTACATTTAATTCTGTTGCAGACTTGATGAAGGAAGACATAATAGTTTCGTCGGTGCAAACTTTAGAAACTTGATATTTAGGCTCACTGTATGAGTCAAAATTGTTTTTTCTAACATTAATCTTGAACAGCATGGACTTGTCAACAAGAACATCAAATTCTTTTGGATAATGTTCCAAATCAGCACCCTAGAAAAAACGAAAAAAAAAGATTCCAACCAATAAAAATATCAGAATTTAGAACTAATTAATATGACAACAGTTGATGAACACAGCGTTGGGCAAAAATAGAATACCAACCCTCTTGTATTGCAATTCACGCAAATCAGAAGCACTCATACCCAACAAAGTAACACAATCTCTATCAAAGAGAATGAACGATGCAGAATCGGTGTTATCAACAACTCTGACTTGAACACTGAATCTATAATATAATAATTATTATTATCAGCGTCAATTACGTAGTATAAGAAAACATTAAAAATCAAAATAATCTCACCTTGGTTGATAATCACTCCAATGTTTTTGGCAGTTTTTACAAAACCATTTCTCATAATCTTCACAAACAGAATACGGGCATTTCTTACAGGATTTGTACCACCAGTTGTATTTACTCTCAATTGCTTTGATAGTTCCGTAAGCAATACACGTCATAACCTGAAAAAAAAATATAACATTAACGACAATTAAAAATAAATAAAAATAATTTAAAAAAGATAGCATAACTTTATCCCAATCACAAATATTCACCTCGGTAGAAATTTTAATATCAGTAATACACTTTCTTTCTGTATTTTTAGGAAAATCATTCTCAAAGGAATATGTCGATTGAGTAGACAACTGGGACAATCCACGAATACAATCCGCTGAAACATTTCCAAGCCTAAAAGAAAACAAACGCAACATATAAATTACGAATCCAAACATACACAAATTTCATAACAGAACTTATACTGAATAATAGAGTTGCAACGGTCATAAAAAATATTTCTTATTGTTTCTTGAATTCAATAATTTCTGTTACATTCGAATCCATAATGAGACGCGTTGTATATCTTGTATTAGTTATTGACTTTTGACCTACACAATTTAAAGAGAGAAAAAAACGGAAAGAGCTACCGTTAAAAAAAAAAAGTAATAGAATGAGACAGACAAAATAGATATTTATTGAAATTTTTTAATAAAGAATAAAATTAAATATGAAGACAAATACCTCTGAAATCCTTCATCTTTGCAAGATGAACTATTATAACATTCTGAGAAACCTGATTATTTGCCAAAAAACTCTGCACTTCATCAACATAATGCTCCCACAATGTGCATTCAAGTTTGTGACCTCTCTTTTTTCGCAAAGGTTTTTTAAAAATATACACAACTCATTACGGACATCAATTTACCACACACAAAATAAATTACACATACGTTATTCAAAATCGTTACAACAAAAAATACCTGAGGTTGTCAAGCTCCAACATAATTTTTTTTGCTTTCCTACCAAACACATCATGCTCTTCAACTTCGCTAGTTCCAGTCAGTAAACCGATGACATCTACAGAAAAAATAATTCAGATTAATGAAAATAATTTTTTCCAAGTAAATAAATTATTTAAAAAATAACAAAAGAATACATTACCCAATAAATAAAGAGAGATCGTTTTTTGCTGTATAATAAAATCAAACTCGACAAAATTGAAACAATTGACAGGTATGGTAGCATCAGCAATGGCCTTAACATTTGTCCTTAAGCTGAAAGAAATTCTGTAAACATGCCTAGTTGCCTTGAAACCTTTACCATTCAATCCAACTCCAAAATTTCTAAGAAAGTACATTTCCCCTTATATAATTTTTTTTCTAACTTGCAAAGTCCCTCTGACAGTAGCATGGATCGTAGAACCCTACATAATTCAAACATAAATTAGCAAGAAGAATCGAAGAATTAGAAAAAAAAAGAGAGCAAAATATAAAAATAAGTTTGCAACATAAAAAAAAATACATGTTCATCTGCCAGAATCATCTCCAGATTGTCATCAAATCCCTTTTTCTCATAATTAGGGACCTTCCAAGTTCTAATAGCCCTAACCTTAATCCTCCAATCATCCTTAGAGGAATTTAGATCTTTTATAAAATCATATTTTGAAAACATGACTAAAGCAGGAAGTAGAAGAAGGGAATAACAGCGAATGATAAAAAGAAGGAAAAAATGCAAGATACTGAAGAAGATGAATGATTCGACCAGAGAAAAATGGAGGGTTCATGTAAAAAATGATAAAAATGGGGAGAGAAGGCATTAGAAGTCTGAGAGAGACATTGGGACATTCAAAACATTGAATAATTACTTTCAGTTTCCAATGGGGTACAACAGTAGTAATTATTACGTTCATCAATTACCAATGAAAGAAATATGTGGGATTTAAATTGGATGTCTGCCACTAATATATTTTCGGACTTACAAATATTTTTATTCTGTATTTATTTGTTTAATGTTCGAAATTCAAATTTCAAATGTCTACCAAAACAGGAAACTTTTTAAATTGTTGTAGGTGTGAACACAAACCTCAGATTCAAGGAGAATGCGACACATCATCAAAGTTTCCAATAAACGGTTTTACTTTAGAATAATATAGATAAGTAGAAAAGCATCAACGACAACAAGTGTAAGAAAATATATCAAGATCAACAAGTGTAAGAAAATACATCCAAGGTGCTGATATATATATATATATATATATATATATATATATATATATATATATATATATATATATGGGGAAAAATCATCTTATGTAAAAATAATAAGTCTTACATAAAATCTTAACCGTTGAATTAGTATATCTAAATGTTAAGATTAACTGGGCTCCACTCATTAATTAATTATTAATTCTCAATAAATTTTTATCGTTAGATGTACGAAAATTAACCATTAGGATTTGGTGTAAGACTTATCATTCTTAGTAAGCTGATCTTATATATATATAGGGTCAGGATCAATTTACAGACAAAACGACTGTACTACAATTATTTTGTAAATGCATCGCCGGAATGAAACACATTTGGAAAGTGTTCCGGGTTTATATCCCCGAGTAGAGCAGGACGAGGACAACGACTGGGGGAACCCGGGCTAGCCTTTTTCTAAGGGTTAGTTAGTTAACCGGGAAAAGACCCACGTATTAGTATTGTAGTTGGGCCCTACCATGATTCCAGATTGCCATTGATAACCACCCACGTCTATTGTAACCGTCAAAGCAGGGCTATATATATATATATGATAGATGCCTAGGATAGAGGACAAATACTAGTGATATAGAATACCTACTAATGTTCATCCAGAACATTTGGCGCCGTCTGTGGGGAAGGTAAAACTATTCCTACGCATTTTCTTGTGTCATGGCAAGCAACAACTGTGACGAGCGAGTGGTGGAGAACAAAGATAACAGAGGAGAGGAAAATTCTTTTCGATCCAGTGGAAGGAGTCGCTCTCTGGATACAATTGGAGAAGCTTTAATTCAGTTAGCAGAGGATATAAGGAGTAGGCAGCATCAAGAAGGAGGACAAAGGAGACATTGTTCAGAAGAGAGACAACCTGGAGAAAATGTGCAACAATGCACCAACGGGAGGAGATGTTCTCTGTCTCCTCTTCCTAGTTATATCCCTTGTCGCATCCAACTGTGAGAGAAAACAGAAGAACCGAAGTTCGAAGAGGGAAACTTTCTCGAAAGTCAAGGAGTCCTCCAGAAAGGATGAGTTACCAGTATAGAGGACGAAGAGTAGGTCGGAGAACGAAAGAGCGGGAATATGACGAACATGCTCAGGAAACAGAAAGAAGTCGGCAGTATCAGGGAGTGAAAGGCGAGCAACCAGAATTGGAGCATTGGGAGGAAGAGCAACACCAAGTAGGTCGCCAGCATTATACTAATCAAGAAGAATGAGGGACAAATCAAAGGCGATACGATGAGGCTTATAGAAGGAGGAGGCCGGAGGAAGAAAGATGGTATACTAATCATAGAGGCGAGTTCCCGCCGGAAGAGACCGGGTATTACTACTTGTGGGGAGATCAAGGCCGGAGAGGAGGGCGGAAGCAGGCAGGTAATCTCGTAACCAATACAGGTACAGGTTACCAGTGTTATGGGCCAGACCAGCCAGAGGATTATAGCCCTCATTATTATGAAAGGAAAATGATGAATGAAAGGCAAATGATGAATGTAAGGCAAGAAGGTCTAAGATGGAATGGGCAACCTTGGGGAGCACCAATGCAGACACAAGCCCAACAAGGGATTCCTGTACAGCCTATTAACCAAGGGCCATCAGGAACCCCTTTGTCTTGGAGGTTAAGAGCGGAACCGATTATGACTTGGTTTAAACAACCAAATGACATGAAGGCTTATGATGGAAGCTCGGATCCCAGGAAGTTTGTAACAATATTCTGAGCAGCAATGTCACTATGTGGAGAGTCAGATTCTTTGTTATGTCGAACATTCCCTATTTTTCTGAGAAAACAGGCTGGAATGGTTTACGGCTTTACCGGATAATTCAATTGACAGTTAGGCGGAACTGTCCCTTCGATTTACACAACAATTTGCTCATTGTGGACCCCAGCCTAAAACCACACATAGTTTATGCGGATTAAGGCAAAAGCCCGGTGAGAAGTTTAGAGAATATTATGAACGCTCCCAAGCAGAAGCTAGACAAGTCAAGGGGCTAGAGAATTAGACGTATTTGTTGTTGTTTACTACTGGATTGCAACCTGGAGGAATGGAAAACTCGTTAGCGAAGAAGTTGGACGGCTACGAAAGAAGATTTGTTATAAAGAATCCGGAAGTACATTGATTTAGAGGAATTTAAATCTTCTCAAAAGCAAATTGAACAAGGTTTTCGAGAAGCAACGCAGAATATGAGGCTTGATAAACCCGCAGGGAGAGGGAAATTTGAAGAAATGCGGCCTCGATTGGTCAGAGAAAGATTTAGAGAAGCATGCAGGAAGGAGTTTACACCGTTGAATACTTTTAGAGCTCAGATACTCAAGGAGGTGATGTCTACTGAAATGAGTAATGTTCCAAGGCCGCCACCTATTCGGTCGAGTTACGCGCAGGCAGATAAAACAAAATGGTGTGAGTTTCATCGAGGGTACAAGCATTTTACAAATGATTGCTTTAACTTACAAAATGTTATTGAGAGGTTGATTAAAGAAGGAAAATTACAAAAGTACGTGAGAAGGGGAGAAGGAGAAGGATGTAAAGATGATAAATACAGGCGACCAGACCGTAGTCGTAGCCCGCCTGGAGGGAGAAGCAAAGAGGCTAATAGAGACCAAAAGGCATAAGTACAAGCATCACCTAGTCAGGTTCAGGTGGGGCACATATGCACTATAGCAGGAGGCGAAGAGTCGGGTAACGCCCAAAAAAATATTTAAAGATGTGCATGCCTATTTCTGAGAAGCAGCATTTTAAAGAGGAAAGAAGAAAGACGGGCAAGCAAGTAGTGTTCGAAGACTTAGATGATGAGATTTTGGATCCGGAGCATGATGATCCTTTAGTGATTTCAGGATTACTAGCAAACTATCGAGTTGATAGAATGTTGGTAGATCCGGGGAGGTCGGTGGACATTATATTTTGGGATGCGTTAAGAAGAATGGATTTGGATTGTGATCAGTTGGAACTAAGTGGGGCTGATTTGTTAGCATTCACAGGAGATAAAATTAAGTCATTGGGATATATTCCATTGAGGTTAACTTTCGGAAAGGTGCCTACACACAAGACAGTTACTTTTTCATTTGCAGTTGTAGATTTGGGTTTCGCCTACAATATTATTTTGGGAAGACCATTCATGAAGAAGTTTAAGATCTTCTTGTCAATAGATCAGTTGGCTATGAAATTTGTGGCCAAAGATGGGAATGTAGCTACAGTAAGGGCTGATCAAGTAGTTGCTCGGAGTTGTTATAACATGAGTTTAAGAATTCCACAGGAGAGTAAGAAAGGAAAAATGAAAGTAGAAGGGGATAAGTGGAAAGAAGAAATACAAGTAGATAAGGAGGAAAAGAAAGAGGGGAAAGTAATGGTCGTAGGGATGGATCCTCGACCTGAAGATAATGGAGAGAGACCAGAACCTGCTGGGCTGATGGAGGGAGTTTAGTTGGGGACATCTCACGAGCAGTTTACAAAGGTAGGTTCCGAGTTGGAACCAGAGGTGGCAGTAAGCATAAAAGAGTTATTGAAAAAGAATGCTGATCTTTTTGCGTGGAAACCCTCAAATATGCCCGGAATGGATCCGGCCTTGTCTTGTCATCGTTTGGCAATAATTTCAGGTGCAAAGCCTGTAGCCCAGAAGAAGAAAAGATTTTGCACAGAAAGGAGGAAAGCAATTGAAGAAAAAACAAAGGAGTTGTTGGAAGCAGGGTTTATTATAGAGATAGAATATGTTACATGGTTGGCTAACCCGGTGTTGATTAGGAAGACGGATGGGAAATGGAGAATGTGCACAGATTATACAGACTTGAATAAAGTTTGTCCCAAAGACCCATTTCCACTACCAAGTATTGATCATCTGGTGGACAGTGCATCCGGGTATAAGGTGTTGTCGTTTATGGATGCATATTCTGGGTACAATCAGATACCCTTATGGAAGGAGGATCAGGAGAAAACAACATTTATAACTAAACCCAGTGTACTGTTACAATGTGATGCCATTTGGGCTAAAGAATGCAGAAGCGACTTATATAAGAATGATGAACAAAGTGTTTAAGGAGAAAATGGGTAAAATATTGGAGCTGTACATGGATGATATGATTGTAAAGTCGGGGGATGGTAAGACGCATTTGGAGGACTTGCAAGAAGTC